TTTATAACAATCAAACTTCATTCTTCTTCGATGTGACATGAATTGAAACATCTTTTGATAATTTTGACAACCTTTTCTTCACATCTTCATTGAAGTATATTGTATGACTGATGTTTTTTGGTTCATATCACTAGGGATAGGTTTCCACGCCCTTGTAAAGAATGTTTCGTTCCTCTCTCCAACTCCTTTTGATAATTTTGACAACCTTTTCTTCACATCTTCATTGAAGTATATTGTATGATTGATGTTTATTGATTCATATCACTAGGGATAGGTTTCCACGCCCTTATAAAGAATGTTTCGTTCCTCTCTCCAACTGATGTGGAATCTTACAATCCACCCCCCTTTGGGGGCTAACATCCTCGCTGGCACTCATTCCCATCTCCAATCGATGTATGATCTCACAATCCACCCTCACCCTCTTTCAAAGCACAACATCCTTGTTGGCACACCGCCCGGTGTCTGGCTCTGGTACCATCTGTAACGGCCCAATCCTATTTGGACTTTCCCTTTCGGGATCTCCTCAAGGTTTTTGGTTTTTAAAATGTGTGTGCTAGGGAGAAGTTTTCATACCTTTATAAAAAATACTTCGTTCCTCTCTCCAACCGATGTGGGATCTCACACTATTATTCCTTTCACCCCACAAACCCCATAATAAAGCACACCCCGTACCACAAGAAACAGCTCTTATACCTAAGAGACGGACAGATGAGGATCTCCTCGATCATCTAGGTACATCTCCGACTGACAAACTGTATTACCAAACGCCTCCATAAAGAAAAACATACATTAATGCCCTTTTTTTTTTTTAATAATTTTTCTGTGAAGAGCACAAAAGAACAATAACCATAAATAATTTTATATGAATAAAAAAAGGTATAGCATTATCATAATCAGATAATGAAAAACTAAAGAAAGAGGAAGCTATGTGAAATTGTAAATATTCAAAAGAGATATGCACTGTGAAAATGTTCTCATATACCTTTTTTGTAGTAGCAGAATATAGATATGCTCGAGCCATTTCGTTCGAACTTTCATATATTGATTTTTCGAAGTCGACATTCAATAACCTGTCTGCCTCATCATCAAGGACCTGCTCAACATGCAAAACAGGCTACTCAAAACAAGATTATTAACAAAGTTATGGTGTACAAGAATGCAGATTACTAACAAAGTTATGTTTCTTACTTAAGGAGTTCAAATTAAATACATCACAATTCACACCAAAAATGCAAATGGAAACTATGAGAAGAGATACTTAAAGAAGAAAAATCATATCACCCAAAGCTTCGAAGGCAAGAAAAACTTGGTCCGTTTCCCAAATGATCTCTGTCGTTACTTAAACATCTAGGACGCTCACCAATAATCTCCACACGAGCAAATTCCATTACTGAAATGGTGAAAACGGTTGCAATCTCTAATAATAATGTCACGTGACACTATTTTCGAGATGAGTTTAATCGCAACATGGCAATCCCCACAAACACGAAGGTTCTTCGTAATTCTAATCGGTGTACCATGCTTCGTGTTTAAAATAGCAAAGACAATCGCCAACTTTTCACTATGAATAGCTAGATGACATTCTTTATCCTCAACCTCGACGTCGTGGAGAGCCGACTCAGTTTGAGGAATGTAGCCTAACTCCTTCATCTTCCCAACTAATAAATCCAACTCTTCATATATACTCTTTGCCTGTGGATGATATTGATCACCGGCAAGAAATGTATGAACTTGACCCTTAAGCTCGACATTACTAATGCCCGGCACTTTCTTAATTCCTATTTTCTTCATTGCATATCGAACATTCATTACATCTTTCCACATACCAGCCTTTGCATAAATGTTCGATAACAAGACATAGTAGCCCGATTGCTTAGGGGCCAATTGAAAAAGACAATCAGCAGCTATGAGTCCAATATCCATCTTCGAATGCACTCGACAAGCACTCAAAAGTGCACCCCAAACTCTTTCATTTGGCTCCATTGGCATCTGCTTGATGAAACTATATGCCTCTTCCACTTCACCAGCTCGTCCGAATAGATCAACCATGCATGCGAAGTGTTCTATCCTAGGAACTATCCTATATTGTTCAGTCATGATATGGAAGTAACGGCTCCCCTGCTCCAACAATCCTGCATGGCTACAAGCAGAGAGTACAGAAACAAAAGAAATGGAATCCGGGTTTAGACCTGAGTCTAGCATTTTCGCAAAGAGTGCCACGGCATCATAGCCTTGACCGCTTTTTCCATATGCAGACATCATTGATGTCCATGACACGACATCTCGCAACTTCATCTTATCAAATACATCCCTAGCTTCTTCTAAACAGCCGCACTTAGCATACATGTCAAGCAATGCATTCTCCAGTAACAAATTCGGCAGAAGATTGTCCTTCTCGATATATTTATGAAGACGCCTTCCTAGAAATAGAGCTGAAAGGTCCCCACAAGCAGGAAGAAGGCTCGCAATTGTAACTGCATCGGGCTTCATCCCACGTTCCTCCATTTGTAAAAATAAGCTAACGGCTTCATTTGGCATAGAATTATTCACATATATTGCTATCATCACGTTCCATGAAACCAAACTCTTCCTAGCCATCTTCTCAAACATGTTATGGACATACCGAACATTTTCCGGTGATGATTCAGCTTTCACGACAGGCAAAAGGCTAGCCATTGTACCAGCATCATGATTCAGCTTCAGAGAATCCATTTCCTTACAAATTTCCAAAGCATCATCAAATTGCCCACTTTGTGCATACCCAGCAACCATTGAATTCCAAGAAACCACATCTCTATTTGGCATTTGATCAAGGACTTTTCGAGCCTCCCTTAAACAACCACATTTACCATACATGGCTACCAAAGCATTACCAATAAACAAATTCGAGTCAAGACCAACTTTCACTATTGCATCATGAACTTGTAACCCAACCCTCAAATTATCCAATCCAGAACATGCCTTCAAAACACAAGGGAATGTGTAATGATCAGGATTAAAAGCACAACTTGACATGACTTGATAAATGGAAAGAGCTTCAACATACAAGTTGTTGTTCACATAACTTCTTATCATGACATTAAAAAACACAACATTCTTTTCAAGAGTTCTATCGAATATGTATCGGGCAACTCTTGTTACCCCATTAGCAGAGTAAGCTCTCATAAGCTTAATAGCAAGAGTTGGATCAATCCGAAGATGTTCATTAACAATAATCTTGGAGTGGAGTTTATTCAATGTTTTGAGGTCAGGATACTGGTCCAATATTATCTCACACACTTCTTTGGAAAAAAGTTCAACTTTAGAACTATTAAAACGTTTATGGGCCGCAGAACCTCCAAACCTTGTGAAAGTTAAGATTTGTCGAGAACAAAAAATTATGGCCTTCATGGACAATATGTACGAACATAAAAGCACCTGAAAGACGGAGTTAGGACGCGCAAATTAATATCTCAATTTGATCATGCTACTTCCTCATCTTAAGCTAAACTACATTCACAATAATTAAAGAGTTCAAAGATATTGTTTCCTTTTAACAAAGAAAATAATAATAATCTAAGAGTGTATTTGTTAAGAAAATATGACATCAACGTTTTTTTCTTCATGATAAGAGTAATAATCATGGCATCAAGGTTATTCGTGTTGTATACAACTATACGTATATTAATAAATTCATGAACCCCTCTTTATCCACGTGTTCTAACCATGAAACTATAACCTACCAAGTTAAATAGGACCGTGACATTCCACCACAAAGACGAGTGGGATTTAAAGGAGGGGTGCTCTAACCACGTGTTCTCAAAACGATGCAACATGAACCCCATTTCTAAAGTCACTCTCAAACCCATCATCTACCTAACCTCACCAAAACTCTCGATCCAATCCTTCGAGAGCAAGAACCTGCCAATCCTAATACAGATCCTAAGTGAACTTCTCATTTAGAATAAGAGGGTCAAATAGGTTCCCTCTCTATAAAGCCATTAAAGAGCCTCATTGATCTAGTTATCCTACTTGGATAGGCCTTCTCTGCTGGGACAGAGTGACATTGAAATCACCAACAACACACCAAATCGAGCCACAAAAATCATAAAGATAACCCAACTCATTCTAAAAATCCTTCCTGTTTCTAATCCTTTGGGGATCATAAACACTTCCCCGGATCTCCGATTCCACCCACTGTTTGTCCCAAATACAACCAATGAACCAATCTCTACCAAAATATCAATATTCAAACTCTCTTAGGTTAGAACCACCTTAACAAGAGTCCTCTTAAGAACCAGAGGCTACTGGAATTTCCTTAGCTTGAGCAGGTTGAATGCCTATCAAAGCTAGAGCTGCAATTTTCTCTTATCCAAATGAAGACAATCAAACTTCTTTGTATATATAACATGTCAGATTGTTTAAACCTAGAAGGTAACAAACGAGAAATTCAGTTCAGATAAACTAGATCAGACAAAATAACTGAAAGAAATCATTTCCTTCAGAAAATATAAACAATCTTTGATTGAGATCAACAAATCATAATCTACAATAAACAATGGCCAAAAGTTAAGGATGTCGAATTTAGGGTGAAAGAAATAGCACATGAACCAAGAGAAGAAAATAACATCAATCCGCGTTATGTTTCAACCTAGAAAGCACGAGGAAGGAGGGAGAAGCGACTGCAAACCTGTTGGCGGTGGCGGATAGCTGGTGCCGGCTGAATGGGGAGTCGCTCACTGAGCTGCAAAACCGAGTAGGATGGCGTAGTCGGTTTGGTTACGAACAAATTTGGCTCAATCGTCTTCCCCTAGCCTTAAACGAACAAGGAATCACATTCTTTTGGGCAATAAACATCTCGAGAGTACACAAAAAGAATCTAGCAGCAAGTAGAACATTGAAGGAGTTCGAAACGTTAAGCGGCTGGAGGACTGCACTAATTTGTGAGGGCTCGCTAATTAAGAACATGGGCTTATAAATAAGGAATACAGGAGCCTTATAAATAGGTTCACCTTTTACGCTTATCCATAGAACATTTTGGTTACGAAAGGACATAAAACTTTGTAGGGCCATGAGCTTTGGCGGTGAAAAAATGGTGCTCTAACTCCCGCCGGTTGTCTCTCTAATCCTCACCGCCATAGAATAGCTGCGAAGACGAAGCCGAAACCATGCTGCGTCTTCAATGCCTTTCTTCTTCATTGCTTCTGCCATTAATCCCCGAACTCTCGCCGGAAACCTCTTCGAACCGCCGACTATGTCGCCTCAACTCCTTTCGCCCACTCCTCACTTTCACTACTGCACCAAAATTTTCTCCAAAGTGCCAATACTCCTGGAACACGCAGCAGCATCAGGCGGCCTTCGAATCGGGCTCTCCGACGGGTTCATTTCCCTCACAAACTCGCGCCGGAGGTACTTCTCTATCCCTTTCCTTTCAAGTTTTTTCGGGAAGAACTTCGTGTATCCTGTAGTATTGATGCTATTTGGAAATTTTGGTTTATGTTGGAAGGAAAATGTAGTGTATAGCTCCGTTTGTGACTGATTTTGTTTAACCGTGTGTGGACTGAATTATTATGACCTTGTTTTCTTTTTGTTTATCTCCTATTCCTCAAATTTTACTGGATTACTTAGAAATGATTCAATTTCAAGGAGCTCTGCAAATCCAGGGGCCTTTTTCTTGAAGTTCTTTGTTTATTCCTTGTTAGTTGTTTTGATTTCTCGGGTTCTGAAGTAGGTTTGGCTTGTTTGTAGCTGCTGCAGCATTGCCACCAAGGTTTTTTGTTGGTCATTCAATATACAAAGGGAAGGCTGCTCTTACAGTTGAGCCTAGGCCACCAGAGTTCACACCTCTAGATGTATGTTTGACTTGAATTCTGAGCTTTAAATCATGATAGGCTGTTTTCCTTGTTAGTTTTTTTCTTCATGGTTATTAATCTTTTAAAATTTGTCAGTCAGGGGCGTTCAAAATATCCAGGGAAGGATTTGTATTGCTTCAGTTTGCCCCTGCAGCTGGTGTTCGTCAATATGATTGGAGCAGAAAACAGGTTCTAAAAAACAAGCTGATATTTAACTTAGCTGAAGTGAAATTCTAGGTTAATGCTGATTACTATTCCACTGGTTTCATGTTGGGAATCTGTAGTATGATTTCCATGATGGAGTGGATGATATTGAAAATACCAAGACATGTTTGGGGAGCTGCGTTCATCATTCCTTTTTCTAAATTATTTTTAAGAACATTATCAACTGAAATCACTAAATCAGACAGTGAAGAACTTTTTGTGAAAACAATTCCCTTGTCTTTATTGTTTATAATAATTTTCTGATAGGTTATCAATTAGATTATAGTTTGTTTTGTATGTAGGTATTCTCATTATCAGTGACAGAATTGGGAAGTCTAGTTGCCCTGGGCCCACGTGAATCTTGTGAACTCTTTCACGATCCCTATAAGGGAAAAAGGTACCATCTAAACTTGTACTTTTAGAAACTATGACTCTCCATAATGGTATGATATTGTCCACTTTGTGCATAAGTTCTCTTGGTTTTGCTTTTGTAATCCCTTAGTTAGTCGACGTGGGACTCCTCTCCCAACAATCCTCAACAATCCTCCCCTTGAACAAAGTACACTATAGAGCCTCCCCTGAGGCTTATGGAACCCTCGAATAGTCTCTCCTTAATCGAGACTCGATTGCTTCTCTAAAGCCCTCGAACAAAGTATATCCTTTGTTCGACACTTGAGTCACTTTTGTCTACACCTTCGAGGCTCACAACTTCTTTGTTCGACATTTGAGGATTCTATTGACATGGCTCTTATACCATGTTAGAAACCATGACTCTCCAAAATGGTATGATATTGTCCACTTTGAGCATAAGTTCTCATGACTTTGTTTTTGGTTTTCCTGAAAGGCCTCGTACCAACAAAAATAGTATTCCTTACTTATAAACTCATAATCAACCCCTTAATGAGCCGATGTGAGACTCCTCTTCCAACCATCCTCAACATATACCATTTGTTGTGTCGTATTCATGTTTAGGTATTGTGCATCTTTGGTTTCCTCAAATATTTTTGCTCTTCTTAGATCTCAAAATTGCTTGATTGTAACATTGAAAACAATGTCGATCTTTTTAGTAGCACAAAACCACCTCGTTCTTGAGTGTACATGCTGACCATTTTCTTTTTAATAGCCAAATATTTAGGTCGTACGTTGTTTGTAAACAAAACTCTGCAGGTTTGAAAACATAGTATGTTATGATAACAAGAGACAAAATATTTGTTCTACAGTGATGAAGGGAAGGTCAGAAAGATACTGAAAGTGGAGCCTCTTCCGGATGGTTCTGGCCGTTTTTTCAATCTCAGTAAGCCTTTGTGTTGAAACCTTCATGATCCATTGAGGTTGAATGTAAACTGCAATGATGTTAGAGAAAGTCTTTATTTTACCCCTTAACTTTTCTGTTCTATTTTGTTGCACAAGGCGTTCAGAACAATCTAACCAACGTGGATGAGAGCATTTATATTCCCATCACCAAAGCAGAGTATACTGTACTTGTTGAGGCTTTTAAGGTAAAGTTCTTTCCAGTTTACATGCTTATCTTTTCTTCTCATGCTTGCTTGATTCAATTAGGACGCATGTTTGAGATCATAGAGTGATAAACTGCCGTATATGATTTGGGTCACTTCGAAACTGCAAAATTTCAGGAAAATAACTACTAAACAACTGTAATTGAATTGGTTGGTTGGTTTAAAAAACACATATTTGTCTGTTTCAGTTTCATTAAGTTTAAAATTGACAATGAGTCGGATTCAGTTTTAGTCACTTTGTGTTTGTCTAATGGCTCAAGCCTATCGCTAGCCGATGTCGATTGTGAGTTCTCACGTCGGTTGATGATCACTTACTCTTACAAATTTTATTCATTATTTGTGTAGTTTATCTTGCCGCACCTTATGGGTTGGCATGCAATTGCAAACAGCATGACGAGAACAGAAGATAACAGGCGAGCAAATGAAGCGAATCCCAGATATGGCCGTGACTTTGAATGGAGCAGATAGTCTCTAGCTGGACTATTGTTGTTCTTGTAATCTTTCCCATTGCTATTCACAATTATTTTTTTTGGCTAGTTTTAAAACTATTATTTTGGGAGTTTACCTTAGTTTTTGCATTCAAAAGTTAATTTATCAATTTTTATAAGAATGCCATAAAAAAATATATTTTTTATTTTAATTTTAGGCTAAATTTTATATAAAAAAAAAAATACTTCTACCAAATAAAATCATTCTTACTACCTTTTTTATTTTTTGTAATAAAGTATTTTCTATTCTTTTATTACCTTATTTATAATTAACTCTTATTAATTATTTTATATTATTAAAATAATTTTAATGAAATTTTAATTAAAGGTTCGTAACAATGGTTTTCATAATTAGGTTTAGGACAAATGTTAAGTAACAATGGTTTTCATAATTAGGTTTAGGATAAGTATATTGAATCTCATAATTATAATTAGGGAAGTATCCTTAGTATAATTGAAATAATTATAATTAGGATAGTATCCTAATTAGTATAATTGAATCTCATAAGTATAATTAAATTGAAATAATTATAATTAGGATAGTATCCTAATTAGTATAATTGAATCTCATAAGTATAATTAAATCTCATAATTATATCAGAATCTCATAAGTATAATTAAATCTCACAATTATAATTAGTATAATTAAATCTCACCATTATAATTAGGGAGTATAGTCTCATCATTATACGGAATTTCATATTATTAGGTCATAATTATACGGAATCTCATCATTATTAGGTCATAATTATACGGGAATCTCATCATTATAATTAGGCAATATAGTTCATAATTATAATTAGGTTATAATATGTGGGAATCTCATCATTATAATTAGGCAGTATAGTTAATAATTATAATTAGGTTATAATTAGGCAGTTTACAGTGGGTTTGTTTATAGTATCCTAATTACTAAAGTTAATTGATTGTTTGTAATATCCTAATTACTATAATATTACTATAATTGAAAGGTAAATTAGGTTAATTGAAGGTATTAGATAGTTTATGGTGGGTTTGTAATATCCTGGTATATTATGTGATCTCATAATTAGGATACTATGTGTGGATGTAAGAATTAGGGTATGTAATATCCTAATTATAATTGAATATCCTAATTATTGAAGGTAGGGTAACTTAACTAATTTCTATAATTGAAGGTAGTATATACTATGTCTCATAATTAGGGTAATATCCTAATTAGTATAATGGGAGGTAGTATACTATCGATAATATACTAACGAATTAGTATAAAGGTAATATACTGAAGATCCTAATTAGTATAAAGGGTAATATACTAATTAGTATAATTGAAGGTAGTATACTGTAGTTTCATAATTAGGGTAATATCCTAATTAGTATAATTGAGTCTCGTAATTATAATTAGATCTATCCCTAATTAGGTGACCGACAAAAAAAAGGTGAATAGGCTAGAGATGGGTCGCAGGTCGTACAGATGTCTCAGGCCGGACCGGGCTTTGGTTGCTGGGCCGACTGATTTGATTTTGGGTGCCCACATTAGTGGTAAGTTATAGGGCGGATCTAACGTGTATGAAGACTTTCTATTAACATTTTTTTAGTCTCTCTAATAGGTTTCATACGAGTCTCTTACTAATCGCGAGCCGGAAGCTTATTTTTAGTGATATCTGCTACCCATTATGCAACTCGAAGAATTTGATATAAGATGATGGTTGAAGATAAAGATCTTTAAATCTATATTATACCACCGATAATAAATGAATTTAATAGAAGATTCTTAAATCTCAATTATCAAATAACCAAAAAAAATTAAAAGAAATTCATTTGATTCAAATCTATGGCAATATTTATGATTAATTATCTATTCTAATTATTTATAAATAATTTTTTTGGGTATGATTAGTGTCGACCTAATTACCTAAAATTTTATTATAAAATAAATTATAAATGGTTTGTCTTACGTGTTTATCAAGGTAAAAGTTTGGTTTTTTTGCACTGATTTTGAGTTTTGTGGTTGCTGATTTTAGTTTTGTGTTAACTATATATCTTGTTCTTCTTTTCTTCTGATTCAATTCTGCTATATTTTCCTGAGCTAATATTTTTTTTAAAAAAAATTATTAGATCACCCAAAAAAAATTGGAATAAAATGGGTTGTATTTAGAAAAAAAATATTTGGTGGGATTAAAACGAATGTGAGAAATCTTAAGTTTTTCGCTTAACCTCCCAGTAAAACCAACTAATATGTCTGTATTTAATATTTATTAGAAATATTATCAGAATTTATTACATTATTTTATTTTAGATAATTAATTAAAATTTTATGATTTTGAGTTTATTTAATATGAGTATAAGAGTATTTTTAAATTTAAAAAATTTAGAAGTAATTTAGAAGGGTTAAAAAAAATTTGAAAATTATTAATGAGAAATTAACTTTATTTTTAGTTTGATAGTATTATTAAAAATAAAATAGAATGTTAAAAGACTTTTTTTTTTTAATTTATTTTAATTTTTATTATTTTTTTTATTGGGCAAGGTTGGCCTAAACTACTCTAAATACGAAGAAGAAAAACAAAAACAAATCGGTTTGAGTTCTCCCTACAATTCCTAATTTTTATCAATCAACTAGACTAAAGCCATTACATTGGGATAAGATCAATACCAATGTAGATCATCCTATGGTGTGGGACAAGATTGATGGATCATCCTATGGTGTGAGACAAGATTGATGGCGGTTCTTTCAGGTAAAATCTAATTCAATTCGAGAGAGATTTTATTTTGATTTTGTTTCTCCTTTGTTCTTCAGCTTCAGCTTTAATGGTAACCTTATGGAAGCTCTGTTCGAGTATGTAGCCACAAACAAGAAACCGCCAATAAAGCTAAGTGGCCTCAACAATGGCAGACGAGCGCTAATCTCAATTCTTGATTCTCGAAGGGCAAGAAACATTGCAATAATCCTTAAATCCCTCACCATAACTTGGCAAGAACTTCTCGATGCTCTCACGGAGGGACATGGCCTCGATTCAGACACACTCGAGAAGCTTGTCAAGATCTCTCCAACCAAAGAACAACAATCCCAAATCCTCAAATTTGATGGCGATCCATAAAGGCTTGACGATGCAGAATCTTTCATTTTCCATCTTCTCAAAGATTTTCCCACAACCTTCAATCGTCTAAACGTCATGTTTTTCGGATCAAGCTTCAAATCAGAGCTTAATCGACTCAAGGACTTTTTCCAAACACTTAGTAGGGGTTGCGAAGAACTAATGGAAAAAGGGTTATTTACTAAACTCTTGGAAGCAACTCTCAAAGTTGGAAACTGATTGAATTCAGGAACAACGAGAGGTCATAAAATTACTAAACTCTTAAGATTTTCAGATATAAAAACCACAGATAGAAAAACCACATTGCTTCATTTCATTGTCAAAGAATTCATAAAATTCGAAGGGAAAAAACGATTCTCAAACACAGATTCAAAGAATCTCAAATCGAAAAAGGAAATAGAAACCGAATACATAATACTTGGATTATCAGGTATGGAATCACCCACCTCAAAGCTCTCCAACGTTAAGAAAGCATCCACAATCGACTACGAAGCCTTCACTATCACTTGCCCTAATCTATTAATCAAAATCTCAGAGATACAAAACCTTCTTTCGATTGAAGGTGGTGAATACAAGAGGAAGATGTTAGAATTTGTTAAATTCGCAGTGGAAGAAGTTGAGATAGCAAGAAGAGAACAAAGAAGAGTGTTGAAAGAATTGAAGACGACGAATGAGTACTATGAAACAGGGGATAGAGAAAATCGGATAGAGCTTTTTGTGATAGTGAGGGATTTTGTGAACACCGTGAATCAAGTGTGTCGTGAAATAGTTGGGGTGTTGAGGGAGAAGATGAAGATGGGAAATATGGATGCATGTCTGCCATTGAAGAGCACAATGAGCTTGAGATTTCCACGTTTGGCGAAGCATTTCAAGTGTAGAAGCTTTTCCGGCAATTCCACGGCAATTCCACGGATTTGCTTTTGGGTTACAAATGTACTTAGTCATTAAGTTTATGATATTTATGTATAAGTTGGGTGCTCTCATCATTCGCGGATTTTACGGTGGATCTAAGTTAACTTTGAGTCTCTCTAAGGTTGCATACGAGTTTGCTTTCCTAATAGTATCTAACAAGCTCTGTGGCTCTTTAATAGGTTGCATACGAGTTTGATTTCCTAGTTCAGTGGCTCTCTAATAAAAAGCATACAAGTTTGCTTTCCTAGTAGTATCTAACAAGCTCGTTGGTAAAGCTCTCTATTTGTAACTTTAGTTCGATGATCTTAGGTTGCATACGAGTTTGCTTTTCTATTGGTATCTAACAAGGAACATTATGTAACTTTAATTCGATGATCTAATAACTTAAATGCTAACAAGCTCTGCAGTAAAGTTCTCCATTATGTAACTTTAATTCAATGATCTAATAACTTCGGTGAATATCAAAATTAATTTTTTTTTATTAATTATCTATTCTTATAGAATGTTCATCTATATCTACTAAGTTTAAACTCACACGCACATTGATGTGCATAAGATCTTAATTCTTCCTCAGCAAACCAAATAACTATAATTTACTTCAACAAAATTAGTTTAGTTAATTAAATACCTCCTCACCCTTCCATATTTTTGTCTTTTAAGTACTCATTTAAAAATATATAATGAATATGAAAAAAAAAATATACCGTTAATTAAAATAAAAAAGTAGGTCAAAATTATTGGATTCTCCCACAAAAAAATTTTGTGTACAAATTATATTATAAAGGAATATGCGTCTTGATCTTTAATTCATCATTTAAATTTCGTTTCTTTATTTAAAATAAATCTAAAAGAAAAATTTTAAATTTAGCAATTAAAAATTAATTTTTGTCGAAATTTCGTTCCTCATCCTTCCATATTTTTAATTTTTGTCGAAATTAAAAATTATTATTATTTTTTTTTTGCTCCATCTAAGTTATTATGCTATCTATGTATAAGCTGGGTGCCCTCATCCGTGGCGAACTCTAGGGTGAATCTAACATGCATGAAGGTTTTTATTCTCTTTAATAGGTTACATACGAGTTGGCTATTAAGTGCTAGCCGAAAGGT